AATTTATCATAGTCTAAAGCATTGAGGACTTCTCCAATGTTCTGTCCAACTGTTTGTAAAGCTTTAAGATCAGTTTCACTCTTTTCATATGCTTTATTAGTTTGTTCTAATAAAACTCTTTGTCTTTTCAACTCTTCAGACAGCTTCTCATGCTCACTATAAGCCTTGTAGTATTTTTCATACAATTCTTCTCTGTTCATTGTTTTAATTAAAATTTAATTAAATTTATTTACTCGAAAATCCTCTCATAGAAATTAAAATTTAAATACCAATCTAAAATCGGTTGATCTAATTCTTTTATATAGAGAAATATATCAGCATCATGGTACCTGAGGAATGTTTTAGGCATCGTATAATTACCTTTAAGTCCAGTAACATCACATAGTTTAAAAGGTGCTTCACAGCTAATTTTACTTAGATTAAAATACTTTAATTCTTTATTTAACTTCTTTAATCTAATTCCTTTAAATATTTTCTTCTTATCGTTTATAAACTTTAAATCTGTTAAATTAAATTCCTTTGTCATTTTATTAAAAAGATTAATAGTTTAAGATCAAATAGAAATTTTAATAAAGAAAAATAAAAATATTTATTTAAATTATAATAAATGAATTTCAAGAAAATTATTATGAATTTTAAAGAAAATGAACATGAATCTCTAAGTGAATTAAATGAGTTAATTGATAAAAATAACGCTTATAAAATCGCGGGTGTTATCAATAGAATTATTAGATCTATTGAGTTTAATTACAATGAAGAATTTACAACCAGACTTACAAATATAAATGAGAGACTGAAGGGTTTTTTGAATAAAAAATATTATTTTTTATTGATTGATCCTAAGAAAATTAAATTTAAATCACTTAAGAAAAATAAACCACAAGGATTGTTAAGTTCTTTCTCTAATTTGGTAATTGAATCGTTAATAAACAAACCAAAGTCTGAAATAAGATATAAAATATCAGAAGCTACCGATCCTAAGTTTTCATCTAAGATAATTGAATCATCATCAGATTTTATTGATTTACTTGGTTCTTATATTTTTAGAACAAGTTCTACTAAATTTTATTTTGGAATTGCTTTATTACTAGACGAGTCAAATATACAACAATTTATGAATCTATTGGTCAAGATGAATTTTATGGATGATGATAGTTTAAATGAACATGCTTTTAACTTTATTAACAACATTGATTGTGTTTTTCAATATCTTCAAAAGTATAATCCTGATGTTTTTAACAAAATGCTTGATCATATTTATTCTGAAAAAAGATATTTTAAAGAAATATTTATTTGCAACTTACATAACTTGGACGTGAATGAGATTCTTAAGTATATTAGACCTTATAATTTTGATGTAATAGGATCTTTACTAGAAAACAGACCATTTATTGTAGTACCTCTGATAGATGCATTTAATGAAAATAAGTTAAAAGTAGGAAGAAAGTTTTTTATTACTAAAATTATAGAATACGACAAGTATTTTGTTGATTTTGTTGATAAAATTAATTTAGAAAGTTATGAAATTAATGATTTGAAAGAAAAAAGTGAACTTTTTAAAAATAAAAAATTAAACTAATTGAAAATATTAATAGTTGTTATTGTTACATATGAGATTTTTTGTGATCTCTGTTGTAATTTTAATTGGTGTTTCTTAAACTTCCAAGTCTTTAATATTAACGGTTATCTACCACTCTTATTATTTATCATTTTATTAATTTTGATAGGTTTAAATTATATAAAAAATTTTTACTATACTCACCTTAAACCTAAGTATACCTTTAAGTAAGATAAATAACAAAAAATATATCAATGATAAACTAACAATTTATTTTTGTAATTATTTTGGCTATAAAAGGAGTTTTTTAGTCTATATTAGTTGAAATATCATCTAGAGCATAGACATACCATGGCTAAAAACACCGAACAACAATTTATAGGTGTTTCATACTTAACTATGTAAAGTCGTATAAAGACAGTAATGGACTAAAAAATCAATTAAATAAATTTGATAATATTGATACAAATAAAGAAAGAGAGAGAAACAAATTTATTTTAATAAATTCAATATAAATTTTATTTACATGAAATAATTATCCTTTTGATTAAAAAAAGGAAAAGAGTTTTATTAAAAATTAAGAGCTAATGTATTTATTATACCAAAAATATGTTTTCTTTATTTAATAAAGATATAAACAGGGTGCTTGAGACAATAATGTTATATAAATAAACGAATAATCTTGAAGAAATTAAACGATTAAAATGTAATTAACTAACAAAAAATAATTGTTTTATTCTGAAAAATTATATTATTTAAAAGATAAGATCGATTTTTTAGATTCTAAAATTCTAATTTTTTAGTTTAAAGATTAAATCTATATTAAAGGGGGAATTTAAGAAATTATTCTTATAAGTCTTTATAATTAAAAAACTTTGAAATTAGAAAAAAAATTCTTAAAGCAAGCAATAGAAAATAAATAGTAAACAGTAAGAATACAAAATTCTCAACTTATAAATAGCAAATCATTATTTAATTTCTGATCAAAAAGATAATTTGATAATGATTCACTGTAGAAAAATCTATTGATTTTTGAATGAAAAAATAAATAATAAAATTTATTCACAAAAAAATTTCCCCTTAAATGAAGCTTTTTACTAAAATAATAAGAGAAGTTTTAAAGCAATTTTACACTATATTTTATGTTAAATCAACATTTATCAGAATTACTGTTAATAATATATCTGATATCATTAAAAAAGATAAAGAAATAGAATTGTTTAAGATGGTTTACTTTATCACATTTGTGATTATATTATTTTGCATTGTAATTGGGTTATTTTCTTTTAATTATCGTATTAGAGGAATTGCTATACCAATAACGGGGGGATTTATAATTCACGAAGTATTAATTCTCATTTTAATTTTGGTGTTGCAATACGATTGGAAAAAAATTTATAAAAAACAAGATACTATACGTTTTGTTGATAACCCTATTTATTTTATTGAAATAGACAAATTTAAAAACAAGGAATATTTCTATGGCTTTACGTTTTTAAGTGCATTTTTAAACAAATTAGATAATAATTCAAAAGATTCTATATTGAAATTTTCTTCTCTTTGTGTAGAATTTTTAATCTATACGTTAATTTATTCATTTTCTAATAGATTGATAAGCATTGATAAGACTTTGATATTCTTAGTTCTAATAATTATGAGTATAAAAACATGTTTAAAATTTTTTCTTGGTTATCAAAATACACGTATATTATTATGCTTTAAAATAACTAGATATGATATTTTTTGTTTAATAACTTTTACTGTCATATTTATTTTATCTTCATATGTAAAGCTTATTCGAGATATTTTAGTTAATATAATTCTATCTGTTTTTTATAGTATTATTCTAAGTCTTCTTATCTCAATCATTTATTATGAAAAAGATGATTTTTTT